TATTGTTCAGGAAAGGGGGATTTTCGACCTGATCGCCTCAAGTGAAAACAGCAATGAGGGAGTAGCAGACCAGTAGGAGTCTACGTAGCTTCGGTGTATGACAATTTTTGGTTTTTTTTTTGTGCAGCCTCAGCTTTTGATAGTTTTTTGGGTTTTGTGCATAGATAGTGTCCCATAGTGGATTAACTAACTAGTTTTTGGTGTGCTAAACATTTAGGTTGTGGGTGGTAAACTCTTTGATTTATTGTATATTCTTTTGTATATCTATGGGTGCTTTTACTTTGTACCTCGATTTTATAGAGTGATGACATAGGTCCGCTCCTCTATCAATTCGAGATCTATCGTTAAATCACAACTAGATATAAATATATGTAAATACTTTTAACTTCTTATTTAGACAATGATAGCGCGTCTTGCCCTATTTTAACTTCAAAAAAAAGATCATGAGTTAGGAGGATATTGCTAAAAATAATTCTCCCTTTAACAAAAGCACTTTGTACACCATTGATTAGAGAACCCAAAATTGATCGCAATCTATTAGACAAAACTTCAGAAATATTTTTGTAAATAAAAATTTACAACAAGCAATTGGTCTAACATCAGAAACAAAAGTAGGAGTATAATTTCAGGAATCAAAGTAGGAGAGATAGAATAGACCTGTCCAAGAAGTTTTCCAGTAGAAAAGAAATCAAAAATAACAAATGTAATATCAGCTCCAATTATATGCCAGGATTTTTTTGAAGGATTTAGCAGAGAGCATATCTAGACCAGAGGCTTTAATGTCAGAGATAGAGAAAGCAACAGCCTTAATTTCCTCACAAGTGACTTGCCTAGATAGAGAAATCTTCTGATCTCCACAAAGGAAGGGGCCATTTGTAATAACTACGTTATCAGCTTATGAGAGGTCGGTGCAGGATGTACCTAGACGATCCTTATAAAACATGATCATTTCACAAATTATATAGCATCACCATCATTAATTCTCTTACTTGCAGTGCCTGTGCAAAACCATAATTCTACTATGATGTCTCTGGTATTTCAAAGATGAGAGAAATGAATTAGCATTTCTATCCTTGTGCACACTCCACTTGATTTTGCTTTTTGCTACAAGAAAGACAAGTTAGCATAAAGGAGAGAAGTGAATTTATCTAGATAACATTTTTCTTGGGAAAGAAGATCATGATAAGCAGGATGATTTTACAATTGAGATTGGATGCTTTCAAGATCTAGCTTAGCCTCAGTCACTTGCATGTTAATATTTGCGAAGGACTTCCTGTTAAGCTCCTTTAAATCAGCTTTGAGAAGTTTGACTTTAGAAACAAGTACTCTACACCTGATGTTGCTAAATTCTGTCAATCAGAGGGGAAAGTCAGCATGACTAGTCCACATGTTATAGATTTGAATGGCTTTTTCCTCTAATATAGACTTGTGCATTGGGTCGGGCTGGCCCAAAAGCTTGCCCAACCCTACTTGTTTCGATCGGACTGAACGCAAGCCCGTAGGCAGAGGCTTCAACCCTGAGCCTGAACCTGGTCCGGCCTGAGCGTAAACCCGGCCCAACTCCAGCCCAGCCTTAATCCTGATAGTTCATACTTCATAGTTGATATTTAAATTTAAAATATATAAGAATATGTTGAGTAAATATATGATACAGCCTATTGAATAAATGATACAAGCCAACTCTATGCCCAACTAAATTTGACCTAGTTAAATCAGCCTATAAAAAAATTATACAGCCCCTTGAATGGGAGGTCCAAAAAAAGGCTAAAGAAAAATTAAAAGATAATAAGTGGCCCTAGCAAGCCAAACCCACCACAATGCGGGGCAGCCCACCATGGGACCAATGACACTAGGCCACTGAGAAGTAGCCGACAAGCCCATGTGCGCTTTTCAGGCACTTCTCAGTGCCCGCCTCTCAATGGGCAATAATTCCTCGTTGAGTCTCAACCTAATGAGATTTTTCAATGAAAAATATAAAAGATTGAAAAAAGTATTTTAAAAACCTATAAATACTCTGCAATAATTCTTCTAAGCATACTCCGCAATACCTCTACTTAAATCATCTATTTTTCCTACTTTAAATGGAGATATTTTTCACGTTCGGTGTGTGCCCGCCACATATTTAATCTTTGTGTGCAAAGTGGATTTCTTTCTATACAACAAGCTATTAAAAAGATTAGAATTGCTATAGAACATATTAAACGTGGTGGTGTAGGGGTCAAAGATTTGATGAATTGTGCTCTACATTTGATTTGCACCACAAAAAGTGTCTGATGACTGTGGAATTCGTTAGAATTCTACTTATAAAATGTTAAGCACATGCATCCATATAAACAACAAGTTCAATTATATTTAAACAGTACAGTAGGGACACACTCATCTCTTGTTATGGCTAATGATGATTGCTTACAAACTTCATCAATTGTTAATATCTTAGGCCTATTTGAAGAAGCAACTAGAAAATTATCTGGTAGTTATTATCTAACTACAAACCTTGTTTTAGTTCAATTCAGTACAATTGCTCACATGTTTTCTACATATCGACATGATCCACTCTTATCATATATTATTAAGAAAATTTTTAATAAATATTTTGAAGATCTACCTTTACTTTATAATTTTGCTCTAATATTAGATCCTAGAGGAAAAATGGATGGTTGTAAAAATATAATTCACTCTATAAAATCTGATATGAACCATAGAGAATTGAGAGTAGATCAACATATGGAAAATATCAAGGATAAATTATATCAATTGTATGTAAATTATTCTGGAAACTCTGTCTTGAACTCACACTTGGACTTCACAATCTTCATCTTTAGCACCTCAATCTCATGGATTTCAAAGCTTAATGAGGCAGAGAAAACCTCACAAGATGTAAATGAACTTAGGTTTTTACCTTAAGTGCTTAGATGGTCTAGGTGCAAATGAAGAAGCTACTAGTTTTGATGTATAAGCCTAGTGGGGTCCATGTGCAAATAAAGAAGCTACTAGTTTTGATGTATTAGCCCGGTGGAATGCACAAAGGGGTTGTTTGATTCATTTCCAAAAAATAAAGAAAATGGATTCCCACACAAGAAACCAATTCTGTAAAAAATTTAGGATATCAAAGGAATCCAAAACTTTTGTTTGATATGGAAGGATAAAATAAATAATAGGAAAGCATATCCAAAACTGAAGTTTGTTTCACCCCTAAAAATCGGAAAAGCACCATGAGAGAAAGCATTTCCTGAGTTCTTTTGTGTTTGATTCAAAGCCTTAGAATAGGATTTCAACCCCAAAAACTGTGTACACATACCTATGGTATGCTTACCCCTCATTTGTGTATTGCAACAGTAACAACGGCTAGGTAACAGTGTCATTTTCCACTATAAATGCAACCGGAAGTGGCCAACGAAGAGGCATGAAATTTCAACCCCTGTTTTGCTTTCAAATTTTTTTTCCTTTGCAGGAAATAGAGGAAATTTGCAGCGGTGCTAAAGATGGAGGTACATTATGACATCAAACAAGCAAATGAACTGTATGAAGTGAAGTGCAAATGCAAGCTTCCGACCCCTTTGAAATTATGTGCAAATGGAAAAAATAAAGGAAGATATTATTGGGGTTGTGCGAAGTTCCCAAATAAAGAGTGTAACTTATTTCAATGGGCTCAGAAAGACGTTTTTTGTAGAAATAAACTAACACAAAGTGAAGATGCAGCTGAAGATAAAAGGTCAAAGAAAATCAGAAAATTGAAGACAGAGCTAAAATCAGCAGAGCATCAAGTCATCATTTGGAAAATGAGTGCATTGTTTGTAGTTATAGTTTGTGTACTCCTCTTCATTTTCAAAAGTATGTCATGTAGTTGCAAAATGTATCCAGAACTGAAAGAAAATTTCCAAGATTGTAATGTGAAATGAGTACGAGGCTCATATTGAAGTCATATTATCTGTATAAAATGCCTCGCCTAAATATTGTAATTGCTCTATAGATTGCACACACACATAATGGTTGTGTCATCTAAAAATTGCATGAGCAATGTAGATTGCATTCTCAACATGGATTGCATGATCCAAATAAGCAAATCACAATTTAGGCTGCATAAACAAAAAATGACCAATCATCATTGTCTAATGCCGAAAACCCACATGACTTATGAATATTGATGCAGCAAGGCAAAATCTAGTTTTTTGCTCAAATGATAACCCCAAGTTAAGAAAGATAGCCAAACCAATGCACCAACAAGTACAGATTGCTATCTTCATAACGTATTTTAGGTCACAGCTTGTGTGTCCAACCTGAATCACATGCACACAAACACAATAATAAGCGAGGCCAACACTGACAAGAAATTTCACAGAGCACACAAATTAAGTTGCCAGGACCAAACTAATACGATCAACTGAGCATACAGAGTCATACCAAAAATTCAAAAGAACATGGTATGGTCAAATTATCAGGAAAAACAAAAAAGAGCTGAAAGTCAGGGAAAGACATAGCTGAATCTGCACTCTTGGACATGGGCTGCAAATAACTTGACACAGAGATGAAATACAAGCAAATAAGATTTTAGGATCACCTCATAAAGATTCATCCAAGTGGACTTGAGGAAACAAGCAAATAAGATTTTAGGATCACCTCATAAAGATTCATCCAAGTGGACTTGAGGAAATGGCATTACCTGAAACATCCTCAGAGGCATGTATATGTGCCAAGTGGACTTGAGGAAATGGCATTACCTGAAACATCCTCAGAGGCATGTATATGTGTAAAACAGCTCTAAAGCATGGACACAGCAATAGATCTCAATGACAAGCAATAGAACATAATCACATAGCATGAACACAGCAAACCAAATTCAGAATACTACACTTAAGATGTTCATAACATGTCCCTGAGGTTATGTTTACAAAAGTACATAGTCACTGATTGGTGACTAATTAAAAGCATTGTTTTGTCTCATCGCCTATATACATAACAGAGTAACACAGATTGCATTGTTATCACAAGCATGTCCCATGCTAGTGCAAAAGATGGAAGGAAACAAGTTCACACTTAGGCCAGTCCTCTTTGTCAAAGCCATTTTCCCTGATAATCTTTTCTATGAATAGTTTCTGAGCATTTTTTGATTTGATTATGAACCTCCTAGATTCTGATTCATTGTCATACAAAAAATCCAGAGCCTTATCAAGTATTGTCTCAGAGAAATTAGGCTCATGTGCCAATAAAGCCTTGGCCATGCTCTCACTCCAATGTAAAATATGTTGGTTCTGGATTGAGTAAGACATGGACTCGATGAGATCACGCGTTAGTGAATCGCCACTCTTCTTTTTTGATTGAGTTTTCACATTGGAAGTGGAGGTTACTCCACTAGAGGACTTCACATTTTGTGCCTGTGTATATGTCTGTTCACCACTTGGTATCACAGGCTCAAAATGTGAGGTGGGGCCCTCATCATTATCATTTTCATCGAGATTTACAAACTGTTCAGAAAATTCTAGAGGCCGACTAGAACCTAGTTTCTTACACATATCTTTGCTTAAATTCCCCCTTGCTTGGTCATCACCCACAATGACACACAAATCATCATAGTGAGTGAGAGGCGTGTTCAAGTAGTCCTTCAATTTTGCAGAACTATACTTATTGTCCTATATAGAAAAGTAAGGCAAGTTAAGAAGGCAAGCAAGATACAGTTAAAGATGTCAAGTTAAAAAAGCAAGGCTCATATGCAAAATATCATGATACCTTCGTCCACATATCAAATGACTCTGGATCCATGATGACGATTTTTGTCGTCGGATCATATCCGGCACCACTCATGTTCATTACAGTACGCATATCAAAGAACTTAGACTTCAAGCTCTTCATATGGTTCATCACATTTTCTTTAGTAAATTCAGTTCCACATTGCTTGTTGACTTCATCAGCAGCTACCTTGTATGCATGCATCTTAAAGTTCTTATCAACCTTTAGACCATCTCTTGCCAACTGAGCAAGAAGAGGGATAAGAATATCATCATGCCTTGCATTCCAATACATGTTAGGAACGCCCCTAGTGTTTTGAGCATTGTCTACAATTGTTGATTTTGATTTTTTTTTTTTTGGCAAAGGATTTTTTTTTCAAAGGTGATATTGCCTCGACATCAACTTCAATAGACCGCTTCTGTGAAGGGATCTCTGTAGAGTGGGTATCATTGTGATGTGGGCTAGGAGTTGCATGCATAATTGGGTGGCTATTAAGCATATTCATAAATGACATGGGGGGTTGAGTCATACATGGGAAATTATTGTCATAATGGGAGTAAGGTGGATATGAAGGAGAGGGAGCAGAAAAAGGTACATGAGGGAATGGAATGAAGTTCATGTTCATGTGTGAAGGGGGAACTCTAGGGGTTTTAGGGGAAGGGGTAGCTTCGTTGTCATTACCTTAGCTAACATCACCAGAATCAGCCATATTGTAAAGAATAATGCTCCTGTTACACCAAAGTCATATAATGCAAGTATTAAATCAAGCCAAAACTAGATTGAAAATAGACAAATACAATAATAAGTGCAGCGAACAAAGTTTGTTTAAAGCAGCATTTCATGTGAAATATATTGTAAATTACAAGCCACTCTCGTTTGTGTCACCACCCTAATACCTATTACAATAATCTACCCACATAGCACTTGCAATTTCGTCCCTCTTCTCTTTCCATTCATTCCTTGAATCCCTTTCCTCTCTTTGTGTCATATTCTGGGTAAAGTCGACAACATTCTGGTCATCACCCTCATCATCTATCTCTCCATCATCGTCCTCAATATGAATGTCCTCATTCAATAAGTCATCGCCCGGATCAACTGTAGCAATATGGTTATGAAGTATATAACAAGCCAAAACTATATCAACTTGGGTAGGAAAAGGATAATGAGGCTTTGCTGTAAGGATTTTGAAACGATTCTTCAATAATCCAAAGGTAGATTCAATTTTGGACCTTAGTGATGAATGTCGTAAATTGAATAACTCTCTTTTGTTATTTATCGGCCTACCCCTGTGCTCATTTAAATGGTAACGTACTCCACGATAAGGGGGGATGAAGCCAGGCATCGTTGTGTAACCCGCATCACACAAATAATATTTGCCTACAATTATAAACAACACATTGTAGTAAATATCTATATTTATGTAGATTATAATTGAATATTAAATTTAGTCATTAATAATTAATTACCATTGTAGACCCTCAGCCCATGAGGCTGAGGTCGTGAAAGTGCATCTTGTAGCACTTTATAATCATTTGCGGATCTCTCCCATCCAGCTAGAACGTACGAAAATAACTTATTTGGGGGTGCATGCGGCTAGAACATTTTGGGTTACACCTTTACGGCCTCTAAAGCGAGCGACAAGTCTAGCGGGGAGCATGGCGTCGATGTGAGTTCCATCTATCATGCCAATGCAATCCTATATATTGTACGAAAATCACTATTAATTCAGACAACAACAAAGTTCATTTGTTCAATTCACGTTAAGGGAATGAGTTCATTATCTTGAAAATAAGGATAGTACAAAGGATTGTTTGTAATCTCTAGCGCCAATTCATTTGGTGCTTGCTTCAGGAACCGTCCCCTTATGCGACCAACAGCTTCTAGGCATTTATTAAAATATCTAGAAATTGTTTCTCCGGATCTTATGAAATGTGATCTAACTATTCTATTTTTAGTTTTATGTTTGTTTCTCCGGATCTTATGAAATGTGATCTAACTATTCTATTTTTAGTTTTATGTCCTAATATATTCAGAAACATGATCAATTGTTCTTCTACTTTATATTCTATTTTTAGTTTTATGTCCTAATATATTCAGAAACATGATCAATTGTTCTTCTACTTTAACATCATGTGAATCCTGCAGTAGGCCAGTGACTCTCATTATTCTAACCAGATTTTCGAATGCATGTGGCCTCATTCTAACATAATCCCTAAAGCTTTGACTATAGCCGAAAAATACACGGTTGATGTGGGCATTTCTAGACTCTATATTTTCCTGTTTTCCCTCCCTATGATGATAGGTGATAGTTTTTTTTCTAGCACGAATTCTCATCAAACAAGTCAACACAGTAACGATGGCAGACATAGTGGCATTACTTGACATCCTCATTAGTGTATCGGTATCCATCTCATCCATCTACAACAGTTAAATAAACATTTTTAAACACATGCAAAAGCTTCAACGCAAAGTCATCTCTATAGCTAACCAATTATTAATAAAATTATAGAGAAAATATTGTTAAATATCAGATTTTAACAGAAATTATCTCAACGTATAGCAGTAAACATACATCAGCATAATACTAACTGTTAGCCCTTATGTTTTGATGATGTTTTACAACCACCATTATCGGTACTAATGGCCTATTGAGTGCAAATGTAGTAAATTCATTTATCAAGCTCGTTAGTACCATTAATGGAGGATGGATGGAATATAAGCTACAACGATGATATCCAAAGGAGGAGGATGCATAATGATGAAGCAATGTTAATTCAAGAACAACAAATCCATAAAGAAGCTTCATCAAACTTAAAGCTATCAAGACTCAAGAACTATACTCTATGTGAGGATATTAGCTTGTTTTCTATTTTCTCTCTAGTGCTAGAATGTAGGAAAAGAGTTACTGATTTCACTTGAAGCTATTGGGAATCACACACACGTTTTCATACTTATGTTTTTAAGCGTTTTTCACAAAATACTATTTTTCATAAGTATGAGGACCTATCTACAAAATTCTTCCTCCAAACAGTTTGTTTTCAGTATTAAAAACATTTTACAAAGTTTCATAATTTTCAGAGGTCAAATAAATATTTTACAAATATTTTAGTTTGAGTCAAAAAATCAGTCTGTGCAAATGTATCAGAATGCGGTCGACCGGACCGGTCGACCGCACCTATGAGCATTCGTCACTGGACTCCAGAGAGTTTGTCGGTCGACCGGCGCGGTCGACCGAAAGCTCAAATTTTTGGTCGGTCGACCGCGCCGGTCGACCGATGAAGTCTCTGTTTGTTTTTACTTGTTTTCAAACCTGCCTCCGGTCGACCGAATTTTCGGTCGGTCGACCGAACCATTTTTCCGGTCGACCGAACCATTTTTCCGGTCGGTTTTTGTGTGTGATTCACTTCCCAGCTTCAGTAACTTTTCTCTTTGCTATAGGGGCTGTGTAAAGAGAGGTTCTTGCATCTTTTCTTCTGCTGTGTGAGTGAGATCTTGTGTAGATCAACTGTGAGGGAGTGATCTGTTGAGATCAAACTGTGTAGTGAGAGATGGTGTGGGATCGCTGTGTAGACGAAGTTCTGGCTTCCAAACCGGGTGTGTAGTGGATTTCTCCTCGAGAGTGGGGAGCGGGGACGTAGGTCAGCGAGACGAACCTCGTTAACACATCGCGCGTCAAGGATAACGATTCCTAACTCTATCTCTCTTACTTTGATTGCATTTCTGTTTTGTGGATTGCTTGTGTTTATTTTTATTGCATATTAGAGCCTCTTGACCCTAATCACCCCCCCTCTAGGGTCCGACAATTGGTATCAGAGCTTGGTCTCTATATTAATTTTTGGTTTAACCGCCTTAGAGAAAAGATCTAATGGAGGCCTCTTTGAATATGCATATGTTAGAAGGACAATCCACCACTAGACCACCACTCTTCACCGGGACTAATTTTGCTTATTAGAAGGCTAGGATGAGAATTTACCTCCGTTGCATTGATCTTGACATCCTAGAGCTCATAGAAAAGAAATATGTAGAGAAGTCCAAAGTCGAGAACATGTCGGGTGATGAAAGGCACCTTGCCAATCTCAATGCTAAGGCCATGAACGTCTTAATTTGTGGTCTTTCCCCCAATAAATACAATAGAGTTTCTACGTGTGCAACCGCATACGAAATTTGGGTAAAGTTATGTATCACACATGAAGGAACCCCCCAAGTTAAGGAATCTAAGATTAGTGGGCTTATGCATGATTATGAGCTATTTAAAATGCTTCCTAATGAATCCATTGATGCTATGTTTTCCCGTTTTACTAATATCATCAATGAATTACATGGTCTAGATAAGCAATTATCCATTCAAGAGATGAACTACAAGATACTTCGCTCCTTGACTCCGGCATGGGAGCCCAAAGCTACGGCCATTGAGGAAGCTCATGACCTTACTACCTTAGCTCTTGATAGCCTCATCGGAAAGCTCAAAGTGCATGAGAAGAAGCTCAAGGGGAAGGAAAAGGAGGAAGTGCAATCACGTGAAGTTGAGGAGCCGTCACCAAAGTTGAAGACCATAGCTCTCAAAGGAGCTAGTGGCAACTCATCTTCGTCATCGGAGAGTGAAGTCGATTTTTCTAGAGAAGTGGCTCATCTCTCTAGAAGAATCTCTAGACTCATAAAGATGAACAAAAAGTTTAACCCCCGATCTAACAACAAGTTTTACTCTCGTGTAGGTAAATGTTTTGAATGCAATGAACCGGGTCACATCGCTAAGGATTGCCCCAAACTCAAAGAAAAGTACATGAAGTACAAGAAGAAGAAGGCTATGTATGCCGGATGGGAAGAATAAAAGACTAGAAATTGAGGGTTGTAGGACTAGACCCACTCATGCTTATGCCAACTACAATCACCATGGTAGAAATAGGTTTCATAGTTCCAACATTCGTACATACAAAAGAAATTTTGTATGCACCTATTGTATGAGACATGGACACATTTCTACTCATTGTAGAATTAAAGACAATGAAGATTTTTATGGTTTGATATGGGTACCCAAAGGTACCAAGACTACTAACCACCAAGGACCCAAGACATGGGTACCTAAAGCTACTACACCTTCATCTTCTTCTTTTGTAGGGAACGTCACGGCAACGACGTAAGGAGATGTGGTACCTTGATAGTGGTTGCTCACATCATATGACGGGCAACAAAGAGTTATTTGCAACCCTATCAAGGATTGAAGGAGGTAGTGTCTCCTTCGGTGGTGGTGAGAAAGGTAAAATCATTGGTATCGGTTCTATTGGTAAGAAACCCTCACCCATTATAGAAGATGTTTATTTAGTAAATGGTTTGAATCATAATCTTCTTAGCATTAGCCAATTAAGTGATAAAGGTTTTGATATTTCATTTAAACCGGATAAATGCATCATTAGTATGAATGGAAAAATTGTTTTTATTGCTAATCGCAAATCTAATGTATACATTTTTGAGATGAATGAATTAGTAAATCAAGATGTGAAGTGTCTTGCGGCAATTGATGAAAATCCTTGGATTTGGCACAAAAGACTTGGACATGCAAATATGGAGTTAATATCAAAATTGTCTAAGAGAAATCTTGTGAGAGGATTACCTAGCTTGCACTTCATCAAAGATACCACATGTGAGGATTGTGTTAAAGGTAAACAAACAAAATCCTCTTTCAAATCCGTCAATGAGGTATCAACTTCTAAACCCTTGCAATTACTTCATCTTGATTTGTTTGGTCCTATGCGTGTTACCTCTCTTGGAGGCAAACACTATGTTTTTGTGATTATTGATGATTTTTCTCGTTTTACATGGACAATACTTCTTGCTAAGAAAAATGATTGTTTTGAAGAATTTACTAATCATGTTAAAAGAATTGAAAATGAAAAAGATTTGAAAGTTGTTAAAATAAGAAGTGATCATGGTGGTGAATTTTAAAATGAATTCTTCTATGATTTTTGTGCTCATCATGGTATAACTCATATGTTTTTCGCTCCTAGAACACCACAACAAAATGGTGTTGTTGAACGGAAAAATCGTACCATAAAAGAGATGGCACGCACTATGCTTAATTTATTTGATTTGCCAAAATATTTTTGGGCGGAAGCCGTCAATACGGCTTGCCATGTTTTAAATCGTGTTTTGATTAGACCAAAGCTTAAGAAAACTCCATATGAACTTTTTTTATGGAAAAACTCCTTTTATTGGTTACTTTCGTATCTTTGGTTGTAAATGTTTCATTTTAAATACAAAAGATCACCATGATAAGTTTGATTCCAAAATTGATGTTGGTATTTTCTTGGGTTATGCACCTCGAAGTAAGGCTTATAGGGTCTTCAA